GAGTAACCTATTTGTCCATGGTCAGTAAGAGTAACCTATTTGTCCGTGGTCAGTAAGAGTAACCTATTTGTTCATGGTCAGTAAGAGTAGCCTATTTGTCCATGGTCAGTAAGAGTAGCCTATTTGTCCATGGTCAGTAAAGTAGCCTATTTGTCCATGGTCAGTAAGAGTAGCCTATTTCTCCATGGTCAGTAAGAGTAACCTATTTGTCCATGGTCAGTAAGAGTAGCCTATTTGTCCATGGTCAGTAAGAGTAGCCTATTTGTCCATGGTCAGTAAGAGTAACCTGTACACGTCCAGAATGCTAATACGATTTCTCTATACGAACAGATATAAACTGACAGTTTTTCACATAAAACAACCCCACCCCCAGTGGCTCAGCGGTAAGCCTGAAGGCTTATATCGCTAAAAATCGGGTTTCGATACCCGTGATGGGCACGGTATTAACAGCTCATCGTGTAGTTTTTTGCTTAACTACAAATGGAACAAAAAACATATAAAACGTTTTTATCAACTGTATAAATAATAAGAAAACAGGGTTGCCTTTCACGACATTTTGAATGTGATGAATTAAAACAGCTTTATTTGTTGTATATCTTGGTCTCCTCTGTCACGTTTTAATAAAACTCAACCCCCTTTCTTTAATATTTCTATTTTTGGCCGCCTTTCCAGAAAGACTTCTTGAACACTAAGTTTATTTGTTTGTCTTAGAGTTTTTGCGCAAAGCTATAAAAAGGCTGTTTGCGCTAGCCGCCTCTAATTTCAACTGAAAGACTAGATGGAAGGCAGTTAGCCAACAACACCCACCGCCAACTCTTGGGCTACTCTTGTTTCATCAAATAGTTGGATTGACGGTCACTTCGAAGTGCGGGCTACGTTTTTGCGGCAACGGGACGTGAACCATGAACCTCGGATTCACAGTCTGGGTACAGTGACCACTGTGAGAGTCCGAACAGAAGGAGATATCTGAAAGCTTAGAAAAAAGATGAAACTTACCTACAACCTTTGACCACTGGGCGTGAGGTCTCCATTGAGGGTATTGGTTTGGAAAATTTTCTTCCGACCATTCAGTGACAAGGGACACCTTATAGACAGACAATGTGTTTCGGGGACAACTGCCAAAAGCTTTAGCCAAAACAGAGGCTACCAGTAAAGTCCACCACACTGACCTTGGGTCACTATTCATGAAGATTCTCTTTCCTTGGCTTAAAGCAGAACTGACCTGAGGTGCTCTTGTTAATTTGAACGTTCGCATCTTCCACGGTTATTATTTATTTCCAGTAACACGCCAAAAACGGCTAAGCTCTTGCTTTATAGGCTTAGCTAAGAACTACGTCACTCTGAAACGAACAACACGATTGGCTCTTTCAAAAAAAAAAAGGGGCGGAGAAATCGGAATCTCTTCTACATGCATTTCAACTGTGCGCATTTAAAAACAAACTGACCCACTAAACACAGTAGCTCAACAATGCTACAAACACCGAGACAGTTCTACTAACCCAGTTTTGAAGAATAACAATGGTTTCTTATCACATTATTTCAGAACTTATAAAATTGGGTCTCGAGTAAAAGGTGGGATTCATCTAGCTCCATTTCTATCATCTTATCAACACTTCGTTAAGCCTGATGCAGCAACGACATCTTAATCTGTCACTCCCACAAGGCAGATTTTTTCTGTTTGTTTTATTTCAGAGGAAATCCGAGAATCTGAAACTCACAAGTAGCGAAGAAAAAAAACAAGAAGAAGGAAAAGTGAATCATGGTATTTCTTATGACATCACAAAAAAAAGATTGATGGGTTTCATCTTGCAACTATAATTGTTCTTATTTTTAGCGTTAGGTTTTACTCTCAAGTTTTCTGTTCTCTCTCAAGCTCGAGGGCTTATAACGATACAACTTAGAGTTCAATTCTTGTGGTAAGCAATGCATAGATAGTCTATTGTATAACTTTGCGCATAGCAAAAAACAAAACAACAACAACAAACAAACAACTAAGTCAACACGTTACGTCAATCAATGTGTTTGTCATTGTGGCTATAATCTATGGTGACTAGCGAGTTTTTGTATTAAACTGTTTATAAACAAAGAATCAAACGAATTTGAAACGTATTTTATTCTTACAAAGTCAATTTACATCCCACATTTGTAGTTCGGTGGTAAGTCCGAGGCCTTATAACATTAAAAACCAAGTTTCGATACTTACGGTGGGCACAGTAGAGATAGCCCATTGTGTAACTTAGTGCTTAATAACATAAAATGCCTCTCCCTGGATGGCTCAGAAGTAATTATGAGAGCTTATAGTGCTAAAAACCGAGTTTCGATACTCATGATGGGCAAAGCACAGATAGCCCATTTTGTAGTTTTGTGCTTAATAACATAAAATGCCTCCCCCGGGATGGCTCACCTTCACATGAAATGTAATCTCGTGACCTCACGCAGTGAATAAATACCCGGTCATAAGATCCATAAACTGAGTCACGAAATAGATGGGGAATTATTGCTGTTTGTCACTTGATATTGTTATTGATATAGAAAGCTGATTTTGGAATATTGTGTTTTATTTTTTTTATTTTTTGAATTAGGTTTTTTTATTTTTCTGGTTTTTTTTCCTGATTTCATTATTTGAAATAATTAATATTGATGTTTGTGTTTTATTGTTCATTAACATTAATATCAAGTCCTAGCCAGGCATTTGTTTATTAACTGTTTTTAGTAAGTGCTAAATTTCATTGTAAGTGTTGTTCCAGTTTAATATGTATATTTTTTGCTGAATCCTGGTTGTAGCGGCGTGTCATTTTAGATCGTTTCGAAGTAACATTCTGTTCTATATTTTCATTAGTGGTTACAACAACCACCAAACTCCGGCCTTAGATGTGTGTCACTAAAGTGTTTGAGTAGTGTATCTGTAAGATAGACACGAACATCAAATGTAGTGTAACTCAAACCGATAACGAAGCTGTGTCGTGTCACACTGTTATCTTTAAATTGACACCTTGTTCTCTGCATTGTATAAGCTACATAAGGCAATTATTATGTTACTAATGTTACTGTGCAGGCGGATCCGGTGTTTGATAACAAAGAAACGAGGATTATTTGAGGTTGAAGGTTGGACGCTGGTAAAGAATGTTTTTCGTAAATTAGCGTACGGTTTGAGACGTCTTAAGAACATACAGAAAATTATTTGAAAACGTTGTTTAGCGATGACGTAAAACTGATGACACCATTACAATTATTGGTGTTGCAAGCACGAGCCGTTTTTTTTTTGTTTTTTTTTGGGGGGGGGAGTATAAATTATGCAAAGACAAAACATTTGTTTATAGGCTTATATTTCACTTATTCTAATATCATTTGTAAACTAATTAACTCCTATACATCGTTCGTTTAAAGACACGTGTTTATTTTAAAAGGATTTCATTGGCGGAACTGGGGGTCACCCCCCCCCCCAAGTTTTGACTAGGTAGCGAAGTGCCCTTTTGAAGGGGAATAGACTTCGTATAATTATGAGGGGAATTTGCTGATTCAATTTTGACTTCAATGGTTACGTTTAGAAATAATGTGCCCCCCCCCAATTCAAATTTGTTCCGCCACCTGTGATCATAGGAAATATCTTATAAAACGGTGAGTTAACTTCCTGAGTATCGAGAGGAAATTTCTTTTATTCGCTTATCATAGATCACTGGCAATTTTAACGAATTAGAAAATCCCGCAGAATAATAAAATTAAACATCATTTTTCGAAACACTTAATGAATAGCCGGCCACCTAGCGAGAAGAAAAGACAGTAATGTTGACCCATCCGATGAATAGCAAACTTCAATGATTTCTCCAAAATGAGGCCGAAGACCGCCTGGTGAGGGTACCGGTTTTAACCACTTGCACCACTATACAGTACTGTTTTGTCTGTCTACAGTTGTCAGTCAATTGACACTAAACTGACGTCACATAAGGGACGCTTAAAGTTGCAATTTGTACTGTCATGACGTCAGTAAAATGTTCGCATGCCATGAATCACTAGAAGCATTATGCACTCTGTAGGCTACAACAAAGCCTGGCATATGAGCTTCAAAAGCAAGAAATAAAAATATTTGCTATTATTAATTTTGGTTTTATTTACTCTTGAAACAGAACACTTTCGGGGACTCTGAGGAAGTACATATATGATATAGTAGATAATACCAACTGCTTTATAACAAATATATTGTTTATTATAATATTAAAAAAATAATAATGTTGTCAACAAAACTTTAAAAAACGGAAATTTCAGTTAGGCTTACAAACATTTTAATATATTTAACCTTTACTTTTTATATCCGTTATTTTTGACACAAAAATCAAAAGTTTGTTGATAAATGAACAATAAAAAACAAAATCTGACGTTACAACAGACATTAAAAACTGCTCCAAGACGGATCTAGATATTTTTATTTCTAATGACTCATTCTCTCTCTAATGAGGGAAGTTGGGTTTTTTCTGTCTTATCACAGGATGAGCTCCAACAAAAAAAAGGAACTTTTTGCCATGTATGTCTGTAATCACCATGGTTACACATTATAAACAGTGCCTCTATTAAAAACAGTTAGAAAATAATAACGAATATAAATTCCTAAAGAAACAGTATCGTCTCAGTTCTTTTTCTTATAAGGCTAAAACTTTGGGTTCGATCTCTGAGGGTAACACAACGCTGGTAGCCAATTTTGCAACTTTGTGCTTAAACAAAAACACATTCTGTATTATATTTCCATCCCCCCGACTGTTCATTCTAGAAATAAAAAATATGCTAATTTGGTCAGCATTCTCTCTGCATCTTTTTAAAGGTTAGTCTTCACTGTCGTTTTTACTTTCCTGCTTAACTTTAACAACGTCAGAAATTATTTTACTGTTTCGTATATTTCGTTGCGAGAAATGATCAACACAAAAAGTACTCAGTCTATAAATGTTCAAATTTTATTCAAAGTCATAAAATAAGCATAATACATTCAATATCAAAAATAGAACATCTCATAAAAAATAAAAGTAGATCCACAAATTTACTCGAGTGTGATTTATAAACTATTATTATTATTATTAAACAATAAATAATTAATACTTCTTTCAATCAAGTTAAGCCTATTTTAACACGTTTTGATATTTTAATACATATTCTTGAACTCATTTATTTATGATCAGTTTGGACTTACGTTGTTTACGAAACTAAAGCAACAGCGTCCACACAATAAAATGTTTACCTTTCAATATGTACGCCTTTTCTAAAACGACGTAGGCCTACTGCCCTCAAATAGAAATTTATGAGTTTGATCATAGTTCAAGGTCTTACACAACACTTAAAGATGCTACTTTACTCACTTCCAGGACTTTATTTTACCTAATTATGAGCTTGTTTCTGTTTCATATTAGGCCAGAAAAAGAGATAAGGAAACGCAGACGATTTGCCTATTTAACTGTGAATGTACATTTTATTTTTTTAACCTAATTTCAGCTTATTTATCATAGAAAATATGTCTAGGTCGTTTACAGCTACTGTTTAGCTTCTTATTCCGTAGCGCCCACTTTTGGTACCTTTCTAAGCCATTTATTAACTTAAATCCAGATACGCTTAATAATAATTAGGCGAAAATTTTACAGACTCTTCCGAATAACTTCGCTTTGAATCAAAATTGTAAAAGGGGTGTGTATTAATTTAATTGTGTAGCTTAAAATATTACGGTTCTAATCGTTAAACTATTATAGTTTGGTTTATCAAAATATCGCAGTTTTACTTATTAAAATATTACAGATTTAGTTGATTAGGCTTACTTGTTAAGATATCACAGATTTAAAATACATCAATTTTAGATAATATAATATTTCAGTTTTCATTGTTAAATTGTTCCAGTTTTACTTATTATAGGATTGAACAGAAAACTTTAATTCTTCTTGATAAACATGTAAGTAACATTGTGTTCCTGTCATCATCTAATAATTTTTTATATAGTTCCTACTGTAATAAAGATATCAGAAAACAACGCATTTCCAGTCAGTTGTGATCTTGACTTTTGGCCTGGTCTCGGAAACGCCTGGAGACATCAGTGATCCGTGAAAGACTATGATTTCAAAATTTTACACACGCATACACACAAAAAAATAATAATACGTGTTGGACAAAATAAATAGCCTGCGCAGCTCGTTTAACCCATTATTGTATGAACTGCATACTAGGTTTCCTCTTTGATAAATTAATAACAAGTTAAATATTCATGAAAAATAAAGTTTTATTTGTCTTATTTTGCGCTCACTAATTTTATCA